GTAACTAAGTGGACTGATGCTACTGGAGAAGTCATCAACTTTTCCCTGCATTCTTAACTTAATTCGGCAGAAGACAAGAGACTTGCTGAGGTCTTCCTGTTGGCTTTCCGCAGTCGTCGACACGCCTGCCTGCTCGTTCCCACAGACATCTTACCCATGTCAGTTCCCAATTACGATGTTCAGAGCTGTACATTAATATAGGTCTAGTTAGATTAATTATTTTTACAGTTGACTGTGGTTCCTGTAAACTAACGGTATGTACGAAGACGGTTCTACGAGTAATAATAATAATATGTGAACGCATAACCGAGACATTCAAACCGTGGCACAAGGTCGACCACGGATGTTAGAAACATTTTCGTGCATCTGAAATGTCAGTATATAAATATCTCTGTATAAAATTGTATAATACATTTTGAGTTTATCCAGATTTTAAGGTGCTGGTTGGATCTCTTAACATGTCCCCCCAAAAAATTAAAATCTATCGGGGTAATCAGATCCGTGGAAGGCCTATTTTCCGGCATTTTTAACCAGGATAACTAACTAGCTAAGTCCCTGGTAGCAGAACCCGTGGGTACCGGACACGATCCCGAGCCAGCCAACTCCATTTTCCGTCATTCGCCAGGATAAACAAACACGTTTTCTGACCTTCAAATACAAAGGCGTAGGTTTGTAAGCAGCTGACACAGAGTAGATGTATAGTACTCACCACCATAATAATCGTCCACTTGGGTCTGCTCGTCGCCGTATACGGGCGCTGTAAAGAAACAAAAGAGAGTGTAAATAGTACGATCACTGCTAACAGATGGCATCACAATCTCGGCACATCTAAATGTTTGACAATTTCGTTTCTACATTTCAAAATTGTTTACCAAATTCATGAAAAATCTTGTTTTAAAAACACGAAATGCAATTCAGTTGAAAAAGACTTTCGGGCGAATAGTATAAGCAACATTTTTTTAAGTCCGGTGCTAATGTAAATAAGAACACATTTAAACATCGTCTTCGTCCAATTGGTTGTGCTGTTTATAAAATAATACGCTGTGTGACCAAACTACAGACAGAGTTACTGAATTGATTAGCTGGTCGTATGTTTTATTCCAGTGTCAAGGTTCGAGACTGACGTAATCTCAATCCTTTCCAAAAATAACAAGCAGACCAAGGCTCAATCATGTTGTTACAAACAAACAAGGCCTGTTATCAAATTTCACGTCATTTGCATATTGTAAAAAATTCAACCACTGCTCGCAATCTGCAATTTTCTTACAAATCAATTGGATAGACCCATTCCTTTCCAGTTTGTCCCAGTTTATGTTCTACTTGTCGTCGATCTGTCCTCTTCCCGTGCAATATTCTGTTCATCTTGTAACTACACACAACAAGAGTCTTTGTTGAGAAGCCGGTCGTAGCTGGCCAAGACATAGAGGTTCATTATCGTTTGATAAGAGCCCGGAAATGGCCCCGAACCTGAGCAAAGTCTACTCCAAATGCTCCGGTACCATTAAAATCAACTTTAATATCATCCTCCCATTTTTCTAGTCGTTCCCTCGATGTTTTCCGACAAACTATCGTGTTTAACCTCACTTTCGTATGCTACACACCTCACCAATCTCGTCCTACCTGCTTTGATCACCATAATAACAAATGATAAAAGGTATAAATTTCTGAAATCCTCACTGATTCATTTTCCTATTACATTAGCCCACATGACGTCTCGTAAGCTGGAGGTCCCGGGTTCAACTCTTGGTCCAAAGACCGGAAATCCTGACAGATGATTTTCGTGGTCTTCTTCAGCTCCATCAGGCAAATGTTGCGACAGAACATAAAATTAGGCCCCGGCCACTTCTTTTCCAAGTCATTGTTCATTAATCGCCGTATCGTTTACGCCAAAAGCGTCATTAAATAAGCATCCCGTTGGTCCCTCTTATTGCCTTACACTCCAGCTGTTAGATTCGTAACACAAAACAGTGGCCTTACGGCGTGTTACAAACTGTCAAGGCTAAATAAGATGGCGGCCTTAACCCGTTTCCAGCGGAAGATTTCGTTTTGAGACAGTTGTCGGCCACTTATCAGAGGGCGATTTGTTACGTTGTCTTCAGATTCAAAATTCTTACTTTCCACGACGATTTTTACACAAAAAAATGAGAGACGGTGTATTTTATATCCACGGAGTTCTTTTCATTCGTGATACAGTCTCAAGAAACATTTCACTGACGACTTTGGTCAATCCGTGCCTCGGGCGCTGATTTCACATCGCGCTGAGTCCTGGGTCCAATACCAGGGTGGCCCATTTGGGATTTGTCCTGTCAAATCACTCCATCGCCGCACTCATTCATCAAGACCCCGCTAGTGGCAGCGTGTTCGACCTCACTATGTCCCGAACTTGTAAACCGCATTCATAAAGCTTTCATTTTGTCCTTGGAAAAATAACAGTTGTTTTTCTCATGACATATCAGTAAGGTTACCGCTAAGGGGTTTAAAATAACTAAATTGGCCTAAACCTAGCATAATAACCTTAAAAAATGTTGCCAAAGCGGACGCTAACGGATCGACCCAGATTATAAAAAGAATTCCAGAAGTTCTGTCTTCCTTGCCGTTTAGCTGACTCATTGGTATGGTACACTTGCAGCATTTAGAGGTTGTCCTGCATCTGCAAACACTGAATGACCCTACGGATCACGATTTCAACATCACTACTAAACCTCAAACTGGACTTTTAAGTTTACACGGAGGGTTGGGCAGTTGTTCACTTGTACCGTTCCACGAAGACTGAAGAATGATTACTCCACTCGGACCAGTTGACTGGCAGACATAGAAATGTAAGGTTATGTTGATCGTCTTTAGCGAGACAACGCAGAGGCCACGAAAGGCACTGCACTCACATGTAAGGAACACCTCAGGGTAGTATATAATACGTAACGTATTGTACAAATCAACTTATATAGAAGCAAGGGACAAACACGAAAATCTATGCAAGCACGTCATAGTTACAATAAATATTGTTTTAAACAAGTGTTAACAGCGGACAGCCTGACTAATCAATCTTAACTCCGCGGGGGCAAAATCCTCCTTTTGAAGCTGGTGGTTACTCATTAGATGAATAGATACCCTGTATTTTGTGGAACGTGAAGGTATGTCATGGCGTTCACGATAACCCGCAATTGGACCTCTATCCTGAGCCAGCTGAATACGGAACACACAATATTTCTTTAAGATCCATGTTAGTACTACGTTCCAACTAGTGCGCAAATTTCTCCCAACTGGCCCAACTGTTGTTCCTCTGGGCAAAGCAGATTTTACAGTTTTCATTTTAAAAAGTGGTTCCTGTTGATTATAATTTTTTAGTGAACAAACGTCCTGTTCGTTGCATAAATGTAGTCTGTATCATACGACACTGGCCGCGGACTGTCCCTTCAGCAAACGAATGCTTCCAGGGTTTGGGGAGGACGACACGATCGCCTGTTACGAAGCGGACGTCTCAACCCGGAGACATCGTTTAACATGTTACTCTGCACCACACCTACATAACACCATTCATAAATTGAAAGGGAGTCAAGGTCACAAGCAACCATCTTAACCTCTGAGAACTACAACACGTGAAAGGGATTAAACAGTTTATTTAAAGCAGGTACTCAGACGTAAACACGCGTGGCTAATGTCTCGGGGAGTCTGCTAGGAGGTTACCGACGTTTCAGATATCGCTGTAGGTACTGAGACGATTTTATAAATAAACCAATGCAAGGCGCAATCACCCTTCTCGGCCAATGAGGTGTTGTCTCTTGAGACCCCCAAGACACGTGCGAAACGCAAATGTTCGAGGTGACCTTGAATCGGACTGCTAATGTCATGCGCTACAGACACATCGTACTGTAATTGAACTGTAACATTTAACGACGTGTTTCACACTGTCCATTAGTGAGAAGACAGCAGTTTGTCTGAAATTGGCCAGAAAGCTCTGCTATTTACGTGCATTTCAGTGAATTCCTTGTTAGTTACGTGCCAAAAACCTATTTTTCTTAGGCTCAGATAACACTATTTCGAGACGAGAGTTCCAACACGCGTGCCACAATCACGGCGAGATAATCCCTTTATCTTTCTCATTGTCCCTTGTCATGAACGGGTACCAGTTACAGAACTAATAAATGTTACTGATGACGTCATTGGCTGACGCCCACGGCGAGAAAGGGATATATTGTAAAGCAACATGATCGACAAACCGAATTCCTTCCTGACTAGGATTTCAGGTTGTTCTTGCTTGTGGTAGAGCCTTCTTAACCACCGACCCGGCAAGGTTCTGCCTTCACTGACTAGTTCCCATTCTCAAAGCGATTCCTTGAGAGCGGCCTCCATCATCAGGGCGATCATCGCCCTGATGACGGAAGACAGGAAGCACCTCTGAAAAGTCCGGCAAAAGTCTGCCAGACCACGTAATGCTACAACCCAAAAGATTACCATCTAAGTCATGAGTAGTTGAAATTTCCTGTTTTCTGTGGAACCCTATGGTGTTACAGAGGACTCATTATTTAAATCTCAATTTGATTTCTAATTGCTTCAGTTACATCCAGTAAAAGTAATTTTATTGTATATTTTATAAACTTGGGTCATCTTACGTGACCTTACACGCCTTGCCGTCCTACTCCAATCCACTGTGTGGACCTTTTTGTGAAGCTGTTCGCTGTACATCACGTATTCTGTGTTAATGTTGTGGCTGCATGATTCAGATTTGCAGATCCGCCTTCAAACCCACTCTCAGGCGGTGATATTTATCCCACCCGCATCTTTGGAGTCCGTGAACGGGGCAAGGCCGTGGCCTAGGCAACACGGAGTTTTCCTCATTGGCATCCCAACAATTACTCCATTCACACCCAGAAGAAGGCAATGGCAAACCACTTCTGGATCATCTGCCAAGAACGTATATGAACAGGTCCCAGTCCGAGAAAAGGATGGAAGGATCCTGTTCATATGGACCTGTCGCCAGACAGAACACTTAAAAAAAAAAGTTACCATTGGGGTGAACACGCCACATCGTGGTCACTTACATCAAAGCCTGTAGAAGTGATATGACAAGGTCGTACGATTTTAACAGCGGCAACTTCTGAACCGATGAACTGATACACTTTGGTTAATCAGCCGAATAATTGCGACGAGACTAGAACAAGCATGATTCTTCATAGATATTAGTGGATTATTTAATGACACTTCATGAAATTACATACGATGATTAATGAATACATTGTTGAGCATGCACACGGAAGGATCCGGTCGTGGGCTTAGCGGGGCATTATCCCGGAATTTTGTTTCGGATGGACTGATTAAAACCACGAAAATCTCAAAATGACCTATCTCCGTGCTGATATTTGAGCACGAGATATCTGTAATACGAAACAGTGATTACTAACTGCTCGGATGTTACGATCCTTGATTGTGATAAGAGAAGTGAGAAGAATGAGCATGTCGGGAAGGAATACGGCCAGATGGCGGTCCAAAGCTTCCAGAATGTTTAAAATCCCTACTCATTTATCTAAAAGGCGATTGTATAAGGGAACAACCATTTCTCATCAACACAAATGCCTTCTGCCATGCAGTCGCCAATGCCCTGTTGATATACTGCGTTCTTCATACTGAAAACTCCCTTTTGTGGAAGCTCCCCCAGGCCCGGTGAATCACGGAGGGGAGAGAAATGATCTTTTATGTACAGGGTTTACCCAAAATAAACCTAGATACGATTTCCACGGCCGGTAACAAACGCTCTTGAAG